TTCAGGATCTACAACAGGACAAAACATTGACAGAGGGGGACCGTACAACACCTTCAGGATCTACAACAGGACAAAACATTGACAGAGGGGGACCGTACAACACATTCAGGATCTACACCAGGACAACACATTGACAGAGGGGGACCGTACAACAAATTCAGGATCTACAACAGGACAAAACATTGACAGAGGGGGACCGTACAACACCTTCAGGATCTACAACAGGACAAAACATTGACAGAGGGGACCGCACAACACCTTCAGGATCTACAACAGGACAAAAAATTGACAGAGGGGGACCGTACAACAAATTCAGGATCTACATCAAGACAAAACATTGACAGAGAGGGACTGTACAACACATTTAGAATATTTAGCACAAGGGAAGTTACCAGGGTGAACAAAATATTGATGATTTGTAACAGATTAACACAAATGTGTATGAATGAGCTTTGCTTCAAATTAATCAGATGTACATATATGAAATCCTCACTTAGTTTCGGGCTAATATGTGATACGATAAGTCTACAAGTTTTCCGACAAACAATAAATGACATTACAGGACACAATTTAACAAAATATGTATAACAGCTCTACTATCATCATCACATAAACTTTGACAAACAGAAAATGCAGCATTTTAAAGAGAATCAATTAGGATGATAGATACCTTGTCATTGTCCATTGCAAAATCCTCTGCTGTACGACCTCGCGGACACTTGTCCTTCGTCACCATCTCATCTTTGTCCTTTTCATCCTCATTTTCATTCTCCGAGCCCTCTTCGTCGTAGTCCATGTTCTCAATCTTTGGATCAGCCCCGGCAGCCATGAGGAGCGCTACCATACCAATGTTTTGTCGGCCACAAGCCACATGAAGTGCTGTGTTGCCATCAAAACATGTTGCATTGACAGCTGCTTTGGCCTGTAATGAGTTCAAAGGGCAATTGTGTAGTCAAACTGTAGTAACGGGAGACAACTCAAACATACTGTGTAAATAGGTTGCTTTCCCATATTGGGCCTGAAATGGTTCAAGTGGTGCAGAAATATTACCCAAAAACTTGAACCTGAACTGTGCCAAATTTAAAGGCAGGGCTAGAAAAGCAAAGTTTCAGAGTTTTATGACAATTAAATATTAATATATCAAGAATAATGTGTTTTTCTTTCATGCATGCACTAAATATTATATCATTTCATGAAAGACACATGTGAATCAATATTGTTTTGTGGACAGTCAGCATTTCAGTTTTTGTCAGGGATTTCTGGGCGCCTCGATAATTCTAGGGTGAACCTCGGTTAAGATCTGAGCCTGTTGTTTCCTTTTCAGGGTCAGCTAGTAGAAATGGTTGAACCTGATATGTGAAAAAGACCTTAGACTGTGCAAAAGTAGTCAACTCAGGTATTCACCTCCAATAAATTAGACTTTTTTGAAGTTACACTGCAGTCAGGGGAGATAACTCAAGCTATAGGTTTTATACACTAGGTTGGGTGATATTAAATTACCAAACAAGGATTGATTTTACTTGCAGTTCCTTTTACCTCTATATGAACAGTGCACATACCTCCAGAAGTAGCCAGCCTGCAATGGAAAGGTCGTCATTGCCTGCTGCATAGTGGATAGCCGACCGACCACTTTTGCCGTCGGCCATGTTCACGTCAGCCTTGCCCTTCATCAACAGCTTCATGGACGTCAAGTCCTGGTTTTGGGCAGAGATGTGAAGTGGAGTCAAACCTGTGGAAATTATCAGAGAGGAATGTGTAACAATTGTCTCATTATCGTTCAGCAAAATACAAGACAATTTCATCGTAACCTTTGTGTCATATTGATATCTACTGTACACATGTTGTGATGACATTATATGTATATGTGTTGTCCTATGTACATAAACGTTATGAATGTCCTGTATCTGTAACATGACCTTACACATCTGCAAAAAGCATGCTGACCACTGTCCAGCATGTATGTCATGGAGTACCCTGTCACTTTCTATCCTCATTCATGCCACTGCTAGAAACTCAGATCTTCATTATAGCTGGAATCGTACTTGTGAAAGCACACCTAGCCCTATACACCTACAGACTATATGCTGTACCTGTGGAGGTCAAGAGGCAAGAGACGAAAATACATTAACCATGTGTTTCTATTGTCCTCAACCTTAAGTAGCTGATCTGATAAGCTCATTAAATCAGTAATCAACTATTGACATTTTATTATAAATATTCTTCTCTAAGATGTTTTGGCATTATATGCCAAATTTATTCTCAATTTTTGCAATGCTTACTGCTTCCATTTTACACAGGTATGGATTATGTCAAATTAAAGAATACTTCAAATTTGATTTGGAAATTGGGCATGCTGTTTATCAAATATGTACCATCGATGTTCTTGATGTCGAGTTCCGGGAAGGGTAGCTGCCTGCTGACCCGTGGTCGGATGTATTTCAGCATTGCTGCAAGACACTTGTCTCTTTTGTGAAGGGAAGCCAAATGAGCCGCAGTGTTACCATGACGATCCAGCACTGTAGGCTCTGCCCCGGCCTTTAGCAGGGCATCGACCACTCCCTCCTGGCCAGTTATCACAGCAAGATGTAATGGTGTCTGTAAAAGTGTTTTATAATTTTGTATTTTATGCAGTGTTTGGATTAATATTTAAAATTATTCTTGTTTACTGTATAAATGATTTTAGAATCGTTAAACACTTAATCTAAAATATTTTAATATTATGATTTCAAAAATATCATTCTTTAATTTCAACTCTTAGATTTTACAATCCAACGTAAAACACCAAATAGTACGAAATGTTTGGAAAACAGTACATTCATTCATATTTGATATCCAATTGTATAGAAGTCAATATTTAAATACTGTCCACAAAGTTTCCATGGTGAAGCAACAGGACAGAACTGTGTACAGAGGTATTGTACCTGGAGTCTCCTATTGTGGACATTTATCTTAGACTGGGCGTTAGGCAAGGTTTCCATGACATCCAGCAAGTTGTGGATCACCTCAAGCTGGTGATTAATGATACAGGTGTGCAGTGGTCTGAAATAATGTTATTTTATTATCAAATTATTACATTCATTATTCAAGAATATATGATACCTTACACATGTACATTATACCAGTGATTTAGGTGTCAAGATTCATTCCCTTTAAAAAAGATAGATGTCGCTAGTGTCAAATATGCAATTCTACGTTAAGCAAACTTCGTAGTAGGCTCGATCTCCTAGACACCTGCGTTACCAAAAACATGTATCAAAAACTCAAACATTATCTAATACATTAGAATTACCTGAATGTATCAATACAGATATTTTATGTACCTTTTAAACGTCATACTGTAAAAGCATAATATTTCGTTGGGGATTTAATTCTTTTTGTTTTTGTTTTTGTTTTTTTTAAACCACGAAATATAATCCCAACGAAATTTTAAACACACGAAATATTAACTAAACAAAAAATATTAATAAGCTATTAATTTCATTACAAATCCATGGTGTATTTAAATTTAGACACAAGTCAAGATTACCAGGTGACAGTGTGATTATCATCACAGGCACAGAGGTAAACACTTATAACACCAGCATGTCAATCAAGTGTTATATTTGTAACACAGTTATTGTTACACAGGTACTTCAGCACATATAAATAGTTACAGGCAGTTCATCCATTACTTATACAGAAGCTATTTAGCGTGGGCTTGTTTGACAACACTGATTTTCAAATCAACCGACACTTTCTCAATCTCTACTCCTTCTCGTATCTACGAAGACACCTTTGCCGCATACCACTCGACAACTTTTTGTTTTGATAAAAAAAACACAGGGTATTAAAATATTGATTCCACGAAATATAATCCCAACGAATTTTTCCACATACAAAAACAATGAAATTTAACCCCAACGAAAATATATGCTTTTACAGTATCCATTCAATGACCAGGTACACATCACCATTCTTATAATATTTTACATGTTTAGGGAAACTCTTTCGGAAAGTAATGTCAAGTCGTTGAACCAATGCCACTGTATCAGTTGGTTCCAATATCTCTTGCCTGGATACCACCAAGTACAAAGGGTGATTGAATATTTAAAAGGGAATAACTATGATAATTCATCGCAATATGCTTGGGATATATTTTTCAGCTCATTACTTGTGTTTATCAGTTTCATCAAAGTAGTGGCCTCCTTCAGGACAACATTCAGGTGAAATTCGATCTTGTGGCACTAAAAATTCAGTTCTACTTTATTCACTACACTTATATATCTAGTTTCATTACCACAAATCTAAAACCAGGGAAATTACTCGAGTTATCATTCTATTTGGCCCAGGTGGGGGACAACTATGTAATGTTAATTTTCTGTGAAGCTGTAGTTTTATCAAACTTACATATCTCCGTCCTCGTCTGCGATACAGGTGAGGTACCTCTGTACGGTGAGAAGCTGGCGAATGTCTCCCGTAGCTGCATATAGCTGTATGGCCTTGGCCGTTCTATCTGCCATCTTCAGAGCATGGTCTGCCTCAGTTTGAACTGTCAATCATAAAACCAACCTCACATAACTAGCTTTCCCGGTCAAAACTTGGGTAGGACATAACAATTCATATTATTACTAATAGGAATTTATGTAATTTTGATTAAAAGCAAAATTGACTTTGTTTCTATTATTAAATTCTCAGTGAGGATATTTTAATACACTAGGTATCATTGAAGACAAATTTCGAGGATATGCAAATCCTGCACGTTAGGGACTTAATGTGTAAATACAAGAACACCTTGCAATAATGACGTTGTTTGACATTATGAAAGGGTTTGATATCATTCCAAAGGACAAACACACAAGTACTCTGAAGAAAAAATGTAAGAGGAAAATAGGATATTGAAATATGCTGGCGGCAAAAGAGGTGGCAAATGAAACAAAGGACACTATACCAGCTACACCAATTTTTCACAGAACAAAGACATAATTTCTGTCAAAACACAATCACAGCACAAAACTGAAGTCACAGACAGGAACCTACCAGACACATGAACAGGAGGGTGACCTGCTGGATAGCTGTGGGATTTGCGTACACGCTGTACAGGTTGACCTGCTCCCGATTTACTCTGCATCTTGATCATACCATCAACCATGTCATGTCCACTGACAGTCAGTGGAATCTGAGGAGGACATGTCCCAACGTCCCCGCTCACAGTCAGTGGAATAAGATCTGAATATATATCTAGTGTGTGTTTGTCTTCATTGACAGTAAATGGAATGCTTGTAATAGGCGAAGTGTCTCTCTCTGAGCCTCTTGTCATTAGGTTAGGGTTCATATACGGGTTGGTCGGAGCCATTAAGATCTGGCCCTGGTACTGGGTATTTGTACTGTACATGGTCGGTAGTTGTGCCACCTGCTGTGGGGTATGAGGTATCAACATGTGATGACTCTGGGATATCCCCATCTGATTATTGAGTGAGGTAGCCATATATGTGTTTTGGGCGAAGGTTTGTGGAACAGTAGTGTTGTGTGTATTGGGCATATACACGGTTTGGGGTGGGGTCATGCGTGTGTCGACAGGTGTGGTATAGACTGTGGTTTGGGGTGGGGTCATGCGTGTGTCGACAGGTGTGGTATAGACTGTGGTTTGGGGTATACCGAGGGGCGTTGTTTGTGGTATGGGTTGTTGGGGTAGCTGCCTATTGGTGAAGTAAGGGCCAACAATCTGACTTGGAGGTGGACAAGGCAGTGTGATGGCCGGTGGTGTATCGGTTTCCAAATCCTGATGAGTGTTAATGTGTTGTGTTGGTGGATGACGCCTCGTTGCTTTAGCCATAGGCCTGCTGGAAGAGGCAGGAGCTTCTGCAGGAGTAAAACATTCTCATATAATCTATATATATAATCTAATAAATAAGCTAATACACAGAATATTGAATATTGAGGTCAATAAAAATTATCAATTATTTTCACAAGTTTTCATATTGAAGTGATGCATGTTGAGGGAAAGGTTGGGGGTGTTCAGTCATCAATATCTGCTTTATTGCTTCTCTTTATATCAGTAATTATTTGGAAATTCTAAAAAAATAAGCACAACTTTGGTGCCTGCCAAAAATAAATGATGGATAAGGGAGGGTTGAAGAAGTGTTTGGTGTGATGTTTGAACACCTGTGAAAATAGTTGGCCTCTCATGATCAATGCAATATTATATTATTAGTTTCATATGAAAAGATAAGTCCAACATATTGTTTTATTACATTCAATTAATTTGCTAGGGAAATTGAAAAATAAAAGGCACAGAGGCCATGTTTGCCTCTGATCATTCCTTTTATATTAAGTCTAAACTAGTACGGCCATTCTTGAGGAGAAGCTTTTTTAATATTGAAAATGTTAATGGCATACCAGATGTCACATTCCAGCAATATCTCACTCCGTCAAATGAGCCAGGTTAAGTAAAACATAACAGAATTAAGAACACTGAATTGAATAAAACTGGCTTTCTTGAACAGGACCTACCTTCATCCTGATTGACAGTTGTGGGCATATTTCCTTGACTTTCGGACATAGAGTCTACAACAGATAGCACAGCCTCACTTTGGTATGTGTATATATACGTACATCACACTAATATTTATATTCATCACATTATGTACTGTGCTTTCTAGTGAATATACCCATGTCATATTTTTTTGCGTATTAACCAATGTAATATGACCTATCAGCCCTGTGATTGGTTGTAAGTTTCAATTGTTTCAATTGTGACGTCACGCCTAGGACAAGTACATGACGTCACAGACTTGGAAGATGGAGTCAAAATAACAGCTTTTTACATTTCAAGGTTGCATGAAAATTGTGGTTTTACACGNAACAGCTTTTTACATTTCAAGGCTGCATGAAAATTGTGGTTTTACACGAATAAATGCCACAAATACTGATTATGTGATAAAAAGGATCTGACACTCGTTTATATTTCATATGAAATTTATGAAACTCATAACAAAATTTGAGGCGAGCTAAAGTGAAAAAAATTTTTAGACTCGTTTCATAAATCTCATATGTAATGGAAACTCATGTAGTTGAGGAATCTGGTAGCAGACTCGTAACATAAACATTAATGTCCAAATAAAAAAATATCTCAACATAAAAAAAGGTCAGTCTTTGGGCCTGCCCCTGATAAAAAAAATCTATTTGTGATCAATTTTACAAAAAGTTTCAACTTTAAAAACAGGTTCCAGTTCCTGAATAAATACATTTTCAAATCAAACCATAAGCTTTCCAGTAAGTGTATTCAACAAATTATATCAAACACTGGTGTGTTGTAAAACCAAGCTCTGTTCGCCATTTATATAAATATTAATGAGCAAGGACACAAAAGATATTCTCTTACTTCCATTGACAAAGAAACTGCCACTGCCTCCCCGCTGTTTGTCACCACCCCCGGAGCCAAAGTTGCCACCCCCAGGGTATATGGGCAAAATCTTCTTTCTTTTCTTACGAATGTCATCCATATCTATGAAATGAAAAAAGACTTATTAATAACAGAATTACAAACATCACAGAAATATGATATCTTTACAGATGTTTTGTCACTTCTACAGCTACAGTATATAAAGATAAAATACAAGACTGACCTTTAACTTCGGACTGAAGATCAAGGTCAGTTAACATGCACATTTTGACGATAAGATGAAAGCATACCAAGTGTCATCGAAATTCCTTTTTGATCAAATTTTTTGAGCTATTTACACCTAATTTATTTCCTGAACATTTAATTCTGTAAAGTTATTGACAAGACACATACAGAGTGGCTAAATGTTATTTGACCTGACCGTATTTTACATTTGACTTTTATTTATTTTACATGTACGTTTATTATGTGACAGCTAAAGTCACCTGACAATAGTGCTCACACATTCAAGTCATTTAACCCACTCACCCCTAAAGTCACATTTGAACCTTACCAAATCAAAGTCTGGGCAGGTCCAGTTTAAATATCTAGGGGTGAATGAGTAAACATGCCATGTAATTAAAATATCATATTAAAACCTTGACCTTATCTATCATGCTGGTCAGGCTTGGGAAATCAATAACTCAGGCAAGTGATGTAAATCTATAACATCTGCCTTCCACTGAAGATAAAAACATTCCTTTTTTAACCTTTAATATTTTTTTAATTTTTGAGTCAGTGTAAAAGGCAAAATATTGACAGCCATTTTTAAAATAGCAACAAGAAACATAAATTTGTGAGTTGCTTCCCTTAGACCATCTTATAATACACTGTAGATGCTGTAGACATTGCACGATTTATCTACATCCTCCTCCTAGGTGTTTTGTGTCCAAACAAATGACCAAAGGACCAAGGGAAATCCAGATATTTTTTCCAGACAGGTAAAAGGCAGAATGATACCCTAACTTGTCTAATTATTTTGACAATATACTGAGCAGAGGTGCCTATTGCGACCCTATAGTGTGAAGCTGACCATGGGGTAAGGGTTTTGAAAGTAATATGTAAGATACTGAATTAGTATTCTTATATGGGTCTAGTTATATTTATGTTTACAGATTTCAATGAAACATCTTCAGCAATGCAACATGCCTTACGTCGTAACAATTAACTGCATTGGTAGCATAGTTAATGCACGTGTACACAATTAAAAACAATGCAAGTGTACAAAGAAAGAATTTTGACACTGGAATGCTTCTGAAGAATAACAAGAAAAACAGATCGTAGATCCTGACAAAAACAGGATCTTTAACAGTACCGGTAACTATACGTTTTTGGAGCAAAGTATCGGCTATAGGGACAATGATACAACTTACCGATGTTCTGAGGGTAGTAGGTGAAAGACTTGGGGTCACTGCTCTCCGAATCCGACTTGCGTTGTAACATAATCAGCACATTCACTGCTCTGTCTATTGTTGGGTCTTTGTATGGTGGAGTTTTGAAGACAATAGCATACTGATTTGTAAGGAAATAAAAGAATAAAAATTACTCATAATAATAATTAATTTCTGTTCTTTTCTATAGAACAGTGATTAAAGTAGAAGGTCTCTCTCCAACTGCTCTTCAGTTAATTTCACATTCAAAAACCCAACTTGGAGAATCAATATTTTGACCAACATCTGATCAGAGGTCATTGATAGCTATACAAATATCATAAGACCTGTTTAGTAAGAACACAAGTTGGGGCTCAAAACATGATGACACAAGTTTCCCCCAACTCTGTGCCTACTAGACCACAGGGGCTCAAACAAAGTGAATGCTCTCAACATCAAGGCTGCCTCAGGACAATTTTTTTTATTCTTTGCAACATAAAAAATAAATAAAATAATGTTATTACCCTTCTTCATCTGAGAAGGTGTTCTACCGTGGTGGGCTCTAGCCTGGCTTGTAGAATTTATATTGGAGCTAGTGAAAAGTTTCAATATTTCCTATGAAAAGTATACGTGTAGGTCGGGTTGGTAAAATTGTTCAAAATCTGCCTGCAGGCTACAACTTTAAATACATAAATATACCCCTGGCTGTTCTCAAACACTATCTTATTACATTCTGAACAAATCTAATTTTTAGATTGCAACTTTGTTTCTATTCAACACAAAGTATATTTATCATGAATGAAAAGATGAAAACTTCCTCAAACATTCACTTTGCATATTTTAAAATCAAACATTCAAAGCTAAGCAAGAAAATTGATCAATGAAAATAATAAACAGTATTGATTGATATTTCCTCATTAAAGTAACACCACTGCACAATTTTAAGAAATATCTACCAGATATTTTTATTCCAAAATAAAAACAGTGGCAAAAACAGGAACAAGTATTAAACCTTTGAGAAACACTGAAACAAGGATAAGAACTTAGATAAGAACAGAGAGAATACAATTTTTGACAAAAACATGAATATTCTGCTTTATTACTGACCTGTCTGTGAACATCAAAAGGTCCAAAGGTACCATACGCTTCCCACGTCACATTTCCTTCCTCATCTTGCTCCACGAATCTCACTGAGATGTCATCTGCAGGTACATAAGGCACTGATCATATACCATTCAAACTGAGATATCTAGCTTGTAGTTTTAAAGCATGAAGAAAATGTGCCAAGTGGCAACACTGAGTTGCAAGCCTGGGACACACAGATCTACTTTGTCAGGAATAAATTATATTTACCTTAGCATATAATATATCAATACAATACAATCATAAAAATAACAATGTACTATTTTTATAACCTTTTATTTTTGCTAAGTTGCTGCTAAGTTGCTACAAACATTAAAAGCTATAAGAACTTTTATTGATTTCTTGTTGTCAGCAAAATGTCACTATTAACCCATTCATCCCTGAAATTTCTTAATGAACTATTCCAACCTTTGAATTGGAAGAGTTCAAATGTGTCTTCAGGGGTGAATGAGGTAAAATTAATACTGGAGGAAATGAACTACGTACATACGATCACAGATAACAGTAACAGTGTGTAAAACATGAATGCTCTAGATCTATTTATTAGATAATTAAAGAAGGAAAATATTGTTATCGAGGTAAAAAAAGCAAGCGCTTTAATGTACAAGCCATCTTCATATGGCCTTTAAAGCTGTTACTATATATTGACAAGAAATGCGGTCCTTTTAATATCTTTGTCAAGATATACACAAGCTTACATGTACTTGACAACTTCTTATACTCTTAGCTGTTGCGAGGACACAAAACCCTAAAGAAACAAACAATGCATATACATAATGTACAACAATAGTTTACATACTAACACACTTCACATCTTTGTATCTCAGATCCAACAGAGTATCAAGTTACCTTTCTGCACTTTCTCACACAACAAGAACACTTCCTCATTGCCAGTACAACAGCCTCCATATTTGTCCATGCGACAGATTTTGAGGGCGTTGGCGCCTGGTGACTCTGAAAAACAGAAAAAATAAGAATATCAAATTAAGGAAAATAATGATAAAACATATTACTTGTAGTTTAAATACAAGTGGATAGTATTTTCACAAAAGTTTAGGCCCAAAAATATGTGCGTTTCCTGTTTCTACTGGAAAATAATTAGGGTCATTAGGTAGACAAATTTGTTTTGAAAATATTTTTTCTATGCTGATATAGAGCAGGAGTTCTGACTTTAACAATGCTTATCACTAAATGCCAATAAAAACTTCAAGGTAGGCACAAAAATCTAGGGTTGGTAGGGAAACCAGAAACACATTTTTGTTTTGCCTTAGCATTGTTTCTGATGATTCTATTTCCTTATTTGCTATAAAAGTATGAAAGCAGTACTTGGCAATTTGTTTCACAAAGATCAAAAGGTTCACACTGATTACTACCAGAGGTACATGTACGATCAAAGGAATGAATCAGAAAATAACAGCTGTTGACAGATAAATACATGGTGGTTAGTGCATGTTTATGATATTCTTCCTGTATCATTTATCTACCCAGTTCTTTGTGTACGAGTCCTTTTCATTGATCTTTCTACTACAACTTGTTGCACACACACAATGTAATCATTTCAGTGCCTATTATGTAGCCCTGTTCCCAGTTCGTGGGAAAGTCTTCCTAGTTTGTCACTTGACTTCTGACTTCCCATGAAACATGATCACTATGCCTAACAAACCAGGGCGATATTTGACAACAACTGAAGAGAGATTCTCTTGATAAGTTATCTTTTAGCTGTAAGTAGATGATTATCAAAATGAATCAGAGTTATTCAAATTAATATTTCCTAGACTGCATTCATCATTACCTAAGGAGGAAAATTCAAAATTAAGAAAGAAAATATTTATTTAGTTACTAAAGACATATATGCATACAAATGGTGCTTTGAAAGTTACATGAAAAGATGAAATTTAATTCACTGAATTATTCACTGTTCGTGCATTTCTGTGAAGCAGATTGCTGAACACAGACATGACATGCAAAATTCTACATTTTAATCTTTCAATACAAAAATTCGAGCTTTGAAATGCACCTGGGCAATGTTTTTGAAACATGAAACTATATCTTGATCCAAAGAATTAAAAAAACTTAGGAATACTTACTGCTATCATATATTGGGTTGGAGAGAACGGAGGGTAGCAGACGATTAAACAAGCCAGTCTCATCTCGGAGGTAGGCCTGGAAACATAACTTCACCACATTCAGCTGCATTTCCTTGGCTAGCTTCTCCGACTGTGTCTTAGCTTGTTTGATGTCTTCCACTAGATTTAGTAACAATCATAAATTAATTAAAATGAAACACTATTGTCGGTAATATTCACAGAGAATTTAATTTTGCTATATTCACAAAAATAGTGCGAAATTAAATACAAAGCTAATATTAATACCATGTACAATAATATGGGTATAAATATGATTAAATAGATATTGATAAAGAAAAAAAAAGTTCACCCATTTACTGTCAAAAAAAGACGATAAAACAACAATTCAATACAACATTTTACAATACTTTTAAAAAATAAATCTCATCAACCAAACACAAGGGTACTCAAATGAGCCTGATTTATTTTTATCTGACAATGTTGCATGAAATTTAATCCCTGCAAACTAGTTCTGATCAGGCAACCAGTAAATATTAGCCCTGTGAAATTAACAACTATACATGCACAGTATATACATACAGCATGTCAAAGACATGATCTTATTTATATATACATGTGTATTATATATTACTATCAAGATACATAACATAACACCAATGAGTTATAACCAATTTAGCATTGTCTACATCAAGTACTAGGGCAATTCAACATATCGTATAAATGTCTAATATAGCATACCGGTAAACAAAATATGTGTATGTTCTTTATTTATAAGCAATAAAATTGTCTTAAATCTCTGAGAAAAATGCTTGAGTTAATGAGGAGTAAGCTACTGGAAACCATACTGTCAAATGTCGGAGTCTCTATGTTTGATTTTTTCATCTGGTTTAGTGCGAAGTCCTCTTTTCTTTTGACTTAATTTCTAAAAAGAAAGGCTTACTTGTCAGGTCTGCCTGGGCATTGAGGTCGCCGAGTTTGACAAGTTTGTCAAGTTTAATGGACTCCAAGATCCTCTGTTCTATCACCTCTGATGCCTTCCTCCGCGTCACATGCTGGACACACAGGTTAGGAAACCTTCATCGAAACAAATCGTATGCTACAATTAACTTATAAATATTTAAACGAACCTTGATGTCTTGAACATTCGACTTATTGCGGACATTTTGGTTTGTTTGTGTTTTACGTCCTATTTACAGCTATGGTCATTTAAGGAAGTGCCAGGTTTTGGTGGCGGAGGAATTTATCCGAAAGCCAGAGTTTCCGGAGAAAAACCACCGACCTACGGCCAGACCTGGCGACTTTACCACCCAGACCTCGATCTTGCGACCCAGTGCCGTGGTGGAGGGCTAGTGGTAGCAGAATGTCAGACGCCTTAACCACTCGGACATATAATTGTATCTCTACCTATAAGCCATATCCTTTTATTTATGACTTTTAACTTGAATATCTCGTTTACAAAGAATGCTTTTCGTAGTAGAAGTAAACCAGCAACATGAACATACAAGATGAAGCATTAAGTAATGAGAATATCTGACATGAACAGTGTGGTATATCCAAATGTAATTTCTGTGATGAATTTCAATTTGTATTGCCATTTTCAGAGAGTTGAAGCTAGACTAATAGGTATAAAAGAATCACATTATAGAGTTCAAAAGATTTTGATTTCAAAATAACCTTACAAAATCCAAACGTTTTCATCAGTTTACAGATTTAATGTCTCCGAGGCTAGACACATGTACATGTATGTAGTTAATATATGAATCACACAAGTAAGAGTGTTCACATATATTATTATTTACTATATTTTTGTCTCGCCCCTATGGATCAGATCAAAGTTACAGTTTAACAATGATTCAATTTTGGGTTGTTGTTCACATGTTTCATCAGTTATAAATAATGACACAGTCAGCTTGTTTTTATACCTTGAGATATACAGTGTAACTTACGTGAGAGAGTTTTGTCCGCCCTTTAATTCCACTATACAAGTTCCCCCGTTGCAGTTTCTGCCCACCAGTTTATGAGCATGAGGGCGAGGGATGACCTCATCTGTTACCAAGGTTACCACAACACGGGCAGGCCCATTGTAGTTCTTGATCTGTAACAATTATTTCATAATTACTAAATCTGATCCACTGATATAGATATATATAGGCAAGGATTGTAAATTGTTTGGGGATAATTGTGAATATCTATTCTTTAGTAATCTTAAGAAAATAGTTGCTCTCTATCAACTTAAATATTAAGTGCTAATAAAATTAAAAAGTTAACAAAAATACAAATATATAGTATAGGCAACAAAAATATCAAACAGTGACAGTACAGTATTTTAAACTTAAACCATTAAGTAATCTGGTCAATAACTTGTAAATGATATTTTCTACTTAGTTTAAATGTAACTTAAACTACTGAGTCCAGTGTTTGTTATGAGTTCAGTAGACCTACTTCCAAGCCAATTCGTGTATTTTAGAGAATGCCAAAAAAATATTTGGTAAGAAATTTGCCAGGATTGACCAGACCTGTGACTGCTGGCCATACACCCAAGGTCAGGTATACATGTATATAAGGCCACCAAGAGAAGCTGGAAGAGGGTCTTACAGTAATTTCACAATATTTACTTATACAACAGAATGAACCTTCTATAACAAGGATCTAAATGAAAACACACTTTCTGATACTTCATCTCTCTCAACATTCAATCTGGTAAACCACAACATCAAATTTTCATTGGAGGTCATGCGACCATGATCAGGTAAAACCACCAGGTGTAGCTGTTCTTGGATTTTGTAATGTAAATTATATATAACCCATACATTACAAACCTTAACTAATTGTATATAACCTATAGCTATACACTACAAAATGTAATTTATTGTATATGATCGACGTCCCATACACTACAAAATTAAATGTAATTTATTGTATATGACGTCCCAAACACTACAAAATGTAACTTATTGTATATAACCTATACACTACAAAATGTAATTTATTGTATATAACCCATACACTACAAAATGTAAATTATTGTATATGACGTCCGATAAACTACAAAATGTAATTTATTGTATATAACCCATACACTACAAACTGTAATTATTTGTATAGTCTCTATATATATGGGAGTCTTCTACCAACACTGACCTTAATAGCAGGGTAAGTCTTGCGGTACTTTTCACTTTTCTCTCCTTGCAAACCCCCGTGAGATGGACCCTCACATTCATAACGAAATCGAAATCCACGAGGTTGCGGTTGCTCTACAATCTCAATATGCGGCTCAGAGTCTGTAAAATAATAATCCACAAAATATTGTATGATTGAAATATACCACTATGACTTAAGACTGACAATCACAACCGACCTATGAACTTACAAGCATTTTGATTTACATACATATTATGAGACAAGAAGTTGTTATTAAACTATTTCAATGCTTTGCTGATGCATTTATAACATGTAAAATCCTTTAGTTCTAATGAAGTATCATTTACCAACTAAAAGGTCCTGCATGTGTTTAAGTTTGAATTGGTTGCCCCTTCCCTCTTTAATATCTTGAACTTGATCGAGATAATAATTGTTAATTGAGCACAATGTTATCTATCTGAAATTTGGAGACAATTTTTTCCCCACCAAGGTGAAAAACCAGCCTTGCTCAAGTCAAAATATTTCTTTAATGAGGGATTAGGGTCAATTGATTCAAGCACCTGTGAACAACAGCAAAGTTCCTGAAACATTATAAGAGATGTATGTTAAAACTGACCATCATCAAGCACCATCTGTGTAATGCTGTTCAGAGAAGTTTCGCCATTGGTCATCTTTTTGTTCTTTTTAACTTGGTACACTGTGTGTGGATCATTTTCAATGGCAAATTCATACTCGACCGAGTCAGACGTGTCTCCATCTCGGTCACTCATGCTGGTGTCACTGCACTCACTACAAACACAACAGATACAGTGCATTAAATTATATATCCTCAACATAAAATGACAGAGGTATTGTGGGAGGGAAAGAAAGCGTGGAGGGCTATATACATTAACGAAATACTGTCACAGTGGTGAAGCATATCTAATACAACATTATGGACTTAAGCTTCAACACTTTCAGTTCACCTGGTAGTATACACTGTAGCTCATATAGCTGGACTAAGCTTAAGGCCAATGACAAAGTTTTGCACACCTGACCTCATTCATTACAAAATCAAAAAAAAATAAAGAATATAAATGTTGTTGTTTAGGTGTAAGCATTAATTACCCACCCAGGTTCACTTGAACAGCCTGTGGTATAATTTTAAAGAATGTGTATATTGTATACATAGTCAGTATCAAGGTTGCCTCACTAGTGTAACATAGGTCATTATTTTGTTGATGCCATGCGTGCTAGAGATCAAACCTGGGACGTCTAGATATATAGCTATATATAGTCTGACACACTTCCAATTGAGCTATTAACGAGAAATTCTCCATATTGCTGAGTTGGTAGGAAGCAGCTAGTATTTCACCAGGGAGACATGTTCCCCATCTAGGAAAATGTATGTTCCAAGTTTCCAGGGATAAATATAGCAAAGCTCATGAAAGCAAAAATGAGTATTTATGTCAATATCTCTCGGTTCCCTACATGGGAACTAAGTTAATGTAACAAAAGACCATATTTTTAATGCTCTACTAGGGATCAAAACATGGACCTGTGTTTTACTAGTCTGATGTTTTACCAAATAAGGTAAAGGAACAAAATTCACCCTTGCCTAGTCAATATGAAGTAGTTATTGTTACCAGGACAATTGGAACTCCACTTTAGTTCAGCGGTACGGTCTCCATTTACAGAGCCAGGTCAATGGTTTTATTTCCAGTAAAAGCACATATTCTTTTCAATTCAGTACTTCCTTCCTAGTACAGACTGCTGTCATCCATCCTCCCTGTCCAATGAAATGGATATCCCTCTATGGGTAGTTTATGAACCTGGGTTGTGGTAAGTCTACTGGGGAAAAGGGGCTAATGCTGTCCATGATGTGCATACAAAGTGTCAAAGTTGCCTTACTAGTTTGAGCTAGACAAAATTCCCATTTAGCTTACCTAAAGGTTTAAGGGCATCTGACCGGTGGTTGTTAGGTTGATCCTGCAGTCAACCAAAGTATTCTTTGCACTACTTCCTTACCATTAATGTAATATAACTGGTCTATTTTAGGCTATAGGTTTAACGCAATTGTACTAAAACTGTCAGCATTTTTTTAATATGACTTTTCTCTGCCCTCAGCTCAATTAAACAATTACAAATAGGTGACGTATTGCATAGTTACATGATCCACTCCTACACAAAAAGGAACATTATTTCCCCCTTGTTATTGCCTCTCATTTGAACTGTTTTTTGGATGTGAACGTTGACCCAATAGCCCTAGTATAATATCAGACAGTGCCAATATGACAATATTTGTAAACAGCCGAAATATGGTATGTATTTATATAGCCTACATGTGACATTGACTACGGTTGCAGTCGGCGAAATGTCGTATTTCACAATGTGTTTTTAGTGCTTAATATACAGATATAAGGGGAAGGAACTTTGTCACTGTTTTGTTGATTATCGTTATATATAGCATCATGAAACAACACAGAACAAAAAATCACTTCAATGTTTGTAATTTAACCCAAATTATTGAGCATATGTTGAAACTATTTCGTTATCAACAAATTCATTACAACATGACCAGGATCTATTTTTGGACGCCCACCATCCATTTTAGAATTTATGGAAATTCCTGGAGATATTTCCTGTGACACGATATGGCGTTCTTATAGGACATTCATCATTTCGTCATTTCATTATCATACCTGTTGATACTTTAGATACTGGTACATTCCCGGAAACTTGTCAAAACATCCAGAAAACTAAATAAACCAGTCAGATCGGCTCATCAGTCGGTCGTCAACAAGCAAGATGGAAAATCCAACGTGGGGATTCCCCAGAACAAGTCTCATTGGTTAATCAAATCACGTGACTGATATTTTCCCCTCACCGCCTCTATCTGAATCCGGGCAGACTGCATGCGGACAATATGGTAACTGTCACCGGTAATTCAACTGAAGAAGTATCTGTTACTGTAGGTTCATTGATATCATTCAGCTAAAATATTACAAACTACTGTTAGTTGTCAATGTCACAATCAACACATTGAAGGCTTAACTAGGGGAAATAACTCCGTCAAGAGAAACGACTAAAACAGTTTTTTTCCTACCTAGGCTAACTTAAGTAAGATTTTTGTCAGTTATAAGCCTAATTTTCATAACTTTCAATTGACTTAAATAATTTTAACTTGTTGAATCTAGGCCTACTCGTACCTTGTAAAAGTAATCATAAGTAGTATAGACTAATAGAGCAGATTGGAGTTAATTTTTTAGGTCACCTGAGACAAAGTCTCAAGTGACCTATTGCGATCGCCTTTTTTTCCGGCGTCGTCCGTCGTGCGTCCATTTTTTACATTTTCGACTTCTTCTCCAAAACTCCTGAACCAATTTCAAGGAAACAAAAATAGTGACCGGTTTAGTCCAAAACCCCCAGCGGTCACACTAATTTGCGCCATAGGAGATTTAGCGCCATAATGTAAGTGTTATATCCACGAAATATTTCGATTTTTCGATTGGTATATTCATTTAACTTGTTTGGTAAAGTATCATTGAAAAAAAATGTGTACTTTGTTAGAAAATCGATCTTGATTACGAAGCACTTTTACACTAATTTGCGCCATACGTGTTTTTTCACGCCATAGCAAAATAAGAATTATTTTCAGCTAAAAACTGTTTTTTTCCTTTGGTATATGCATTAAACAGGTTTATTCTTAAACAAATGTTTATTAGGGCTTCGTATCGGAGATACGGATCACTCTGTCTGTCTGTCCGTCCACAAATTTTGTTCCTGGCTGATAACTTTGGTAATTATTATAACTGATGTCCTACATGAAACTTGGTCAAAATGTTCAGTTCACAAAAATACACATTGAGGTAAAAAGTCAAGGTCAAAGGTCACGGTCAAATTTTGCATCTTTTCACTGATAAACATTTTGTTATGACATGATGAAGCAAAGTTGATCAGAATCAAACAAGGAGTCAACTGACCAAAGGTCAAGGTCATCGGTTCAGGGGTCAAGGTCAAATGATGTAGCTTTTCACTGGTGAACATTTCGCTATGACATTATGAAGCAAAGTTGTTCGGAATTAAACAAAGAGACACACTGAGGTAAAAAGTCGAGGTCAAAGGTCACGGTCATTAGATTCAAAGGTCAAGGTCAAATTTTGCATCTTTTCACTGATAAACATTTTGTTATGACATGATGAAGCAAAGTTGATCAGAATCAAACAAGGAGTCAACTGACCAAAGGTCAAGGTTATTGGGTCAAAGTTCATGGTTACATTTTGTATCTTTTCACTGGTGAACATTTCGCTATGACACTTTGATGCAATGTTGCTCAGAATTAAACAAGGAGTCAATTGACCAAAGGTCAAGGTCACTGGGTCAAAGGTGAAGGTTAATTTTTTTACCTTTTCCCTGATGAACATTTTATTATGACATTATGAAGCAATGTTGTTCAGAACTTAACACAGAGTCAACTGACGTTAGGTCCAGATTACGGGGTACAAAGGGTCAAGGTCAAGTTTTGTATTTTTCACTGAAGAACATTTTGTTATTATATTAAGAAGCAAAGTTGCTCGGAATTAATGAATAAGTCAACTGACCAAAGATCAGGGTCACTGGGTTAATGGTCAAGGTCATTTGGGTCCAAAGGTGAAAGACAAAGTGGATCTCTGACTTTGACCCTGGCTCTTGATGCAGGAGGTATATAAGGTGAAATAAAACAAATCAAAGCTAACAAATGAGTATTGCACCGGTATTTACATTTCTGTTAGCCCAGCAAATATGGAGGTGGAAGGAAACAAGACTCACATCATAGTACATGTAAAATGTATATTTTGGTTCCTTGTGATTCTTTTTGAAGTCCAAATGTCAAACGTCAAGCTTAGCTATATGGACAGATTGCTTCTTTAAGATTATGGAGGATATATTGCCACAAGACGGGGCCCTTACTGACCTGTCAGTGTTCTAGTTTTGTTAGGAAATCGACAAAATAATTCTTCGCGATTCAGAAGTCAATTTCAAGGGAAGTATCTCGTACATTTTCAAAATACGCCATAGCAATGAATAAGACATGACTAGTACTTGACTGGAAAAAAAAAAATTATTTATGAAAGCAAACATGGAATACATTTCAAAAACATTAAAGACAATGAAAATATTAATTAATTACACATGTACAACACAATTTATTTATGAGTACAAGCATAGAATAATTTACACACAGCTCTGAAACAGAAATTTATTAAAATTCAAAATGATTGGACATGAACATATTTTATGTAAATCTCACACATTTTAGAAATTATTTACAACACTTTATTACATACTCTTACATTAAAAATAAGTAATATAGATCTTTAATGGAAATATTAATTACTCTTAAATATTTCATCTCAGTTCTTTTTTTAATACTTTTACATACAATCAATAAAATTTTGTAAAATAGAAACAAATCTTCAATATTTAGGTACATTGATTAAGCACATGGATCATCTATTAAGATGAAAAATGAAAGCATATATGCATTCAAATCTTTATTAAATTCAACAACACACTATTTCACACTGTAATACATGAAAACAAAATTAATAAAACATACATCCTACAAATTGTCAACACCTGAAAAATGGTCGTCTAAGAGAAAGGAACTGGGGACGGAGTCCTGAGTTGTTGAAATGAACTAGGTCACGGTCATAGTCTTGTTGAAATTTCACTCGCAGCTTGATGTAGTTGAGTCTGGTCTTAATGAGTCGGTTGATCTTGTTGCATTGTTTATCAAAAGATGTCGCTGTCAGGCCTGGGGACATGGTACTATCTCGGTAAAGTACACCTCCTTGATTCCAGCAGTCTGTAGGTCCGTTTGTAGTTTGAGTAGTGTCTGGAAGATTTCATTAGGGGATGATGTTGCTGCAATGTCGTTTCCTCCTAGTTGGATGAGACTACAATATCTGGGTTGTAGACAATCAGGTCCACCAGTAGATGTTTCGGGATCGAACCAGCGAGCATGCCACCCTTGCCGAAGAATCGGACAGTGCCAGGAACCTGCAATTTAAAATTATATTAATTATTAACATCTGCTTTAGTTTACCATGGTAATTTAAATTTATATTAATTATTAACATCTGTTTAAGTTTAATTTAAATTTATATAAATTATTAACATCTGTTTTAGTTTAATTTAAATTTCTTTCAAGTATTTATTTGGTATTTACCATTATCACCATTTACTTATTCATGATCTGGTAATGGAATTCATTTGCAATATCTGGCCTATATTACAATAAAAGTTTCTTACCTTAAGGTCACCATGACAGTATCTCTCGAGACGAGTAACATAGCTGCTCCCAAAGACTGCAAACTTGGCCATAGTTGAAGATTGTTAAATAAAACAGGCATTAAGTTAAATGTTTACAAAACATCCGAGCATTTACGCACAAGGCGGGCTGCAGATGAAAACCTATCTATAAAAAAGAAGATGAACCTCCAATATATACACTTTGCAAAGAACAAGACTTGCCTGAAGAAGGGATGATCTGATGTCATTATTACCCTAGATGTACCGAAGTATCTACGAGCTGGGATGAAACTACCGCCTTGACGATGGGAACATTGCAGCCAGTTGTTATATAGACAATGTTATCAAACCTGTGTACTTCAAGTGTGTGACTATAAGATAGACTGTGGATGTGGACAATGTATAACATTGTGTGCAATAATGTGTTCTGTATTCCAATGTTCTGTGTAGATTTAGATGTATAATTGGTGAATTCAATAAAGATTTTAATTGTGTTGTACATATGTTATTAATTAATCTGTTCATTAAATAAAATTAATATATATTTATAATATTTAAAAATGTTTTATTCTCTTTAATGTTTCTGTGATTGATATTTAAGTAGATGTAATACATAAACTGTTGTAAATAGATTCTAAAATTAATTTAAAATTTGTTTATGTCTAATAAAATATTGTAATTTATTCCAGGTTTACATTCATAAATAAATTCTTTTATTCCAGTCAAGTACTAGTCATGTCTTATTCATTGCTATGGCGTATTTTGCAAATGTACGAGTTACTTCCCTTGAAATTGACTTCTGAATTGCGAAGAATTATTTTGTCGATTTCCTAACAAAATAAAAAAAATTTAAGAATGAAACATTACCACAACCTGTTTAATGCATATACCAAAGTAAAAAAAACAGTCATTTGCTGAAAATAATTCTTATATTTTGCTATGGCGTGAAAAAACACGTATGGCGCAAATTAGTGTAAAAGTGCTTCGTAATCAAGATCGGTTTTCTAACAAATTACACATTTTTTTAAAATGAGTATACCAATGGAAAAATCGAAATATTTTGTGCATATACCACTTATATTTTGCTATGGCGTGCAAAACCTCCTATGGCGTACCTATGGCGCTAAATCTCCTATGGCGCAAATTAGTGAGACCCGCCCCCAGGGGCCTGAGGGGCGGGGCCAAAAGGGTCAAATTGACTAAATTTTCAAAAAACTTCTTCTCAAGACCCAGATATGGTTAGAATCAAATACTCTCCATAGATGGAAGGGTATAAAGGTGCTTTACCAAAATTATGAATTTCTTGACCCTAGGGTCTCACGTTTCCCCCTGGGGAGGGGGTAAACTTTACTATAGTTTATATAGGGAAATCACATTTTGGACCAACATTTGTTTAATTTCCATTGGAAGTAATTCAATTTGGGTTAGCATTATCAGTATTAGGTAGCAGTTTGATAGTATGCACCTATGAGCCCTGACTGACCCCCAGGGGCTGATGGGTGGGGCCAAAAAGGGTTGAATTGACTGAAATTTCAAAAATCTTCTTCTCAAGACCCAGATATGGTAGAATCAAATACTCTTCATAGATGGAAGGGTATAAAGATGCTTTACCAAAATTGTGAATTTCATGACCCTGGGGTATCACGTTTCCCCCTGGGGAGGGGGTAAACTTTACTA